AAGAAACAAGTGATTATGGAGTAACAACAAAGGTTCCAGACACTGCACAGGAAGAGACTGTAACAGAGAAAAAAGACACAGAGGTTGATATTAAAGCAGATGCTTTACTCACTACAACAGAAGTGGTCGTAACTTATAAAGTAACAAGTGATGATGAAGCGACAACAAAGGCTCCGGGTGTTGCATCAGAAGAGACTGTAGCAGAGAAAAAGGACACAGAACTTGATGTTGGAACAACTACTCTTCCAACTGCTCCTGAAGTGGCCATAACTGAAAAAGAATTAAGTGAAGACAGTGTGATAACACCCTCCACAGCAGTTGTAACCGAGAAAGAAGGGCTTGGCTCAACACATCATGTGCCTGTCACCTCGAAAACAACGGAACCTCCTCAATCGGCAGGTGAGGAAGCCTTGAATGGTGATTGTAACATACACAATATTTCATTTAAAGTAATAATATCTTCAGGAATACTTATAAAAATCGAGACTTAATGATGTATAAATTAACGAAATATAGAACTACAAATGTAAACCAGTAAGGCAATTAACATCTATCAGTTTATTACAAATCTTATCGTGTCATAATTTGTAGCAAACATTAGGTGAGTTTGTGCTTAAGATATTTATTAATTTTGGACATTTTGATCATAGTTTTACACTTCCCTCTAATTCTAGATAAGTCTGCTACAACTTCAAACGTGCCTTTCATTCTCCCCGAAGGAGGTAAGTAAAACTAACCAACTTGGGATACTGTAGTTCATGTATATTAGCCAAATCGTTTATCTTAATTTCAAAATATCACTTGCCGTTTCTTCAAATTAACTGATATAGTAAATCAAATGTCTTAATAATTTTGGATAATAGTAATTACAATTAATGGCCATTGGTTGTAGCTAACTCAAATGTTAACTTATCGGTTGGTTGCTTAAGCACGAAACTACATAATGGGGCTGTGTCCGTCACGTGGATCGAACCACGAATTTTACGAACTTTCAAGCTTACTGCTGAGGAACTGTTGTTTTTCAAACAAATAAAGTGATATAATCACATGTTGGACTTTTCTTCATCGAACTGATTAGTAACACGTGTATGAGCTGAGGTGGATAATTTGAATAAAATGTATTACGAAAATGCTAAAGTGAAATTAAGATTAAAAATTACATACATATATATTTATTTGAGTGTCTATAACACAATGTTAGGCCTAACGGTCCATTGTTAATAAAGAATATGCTAAAAATGTAGGTTTTTAAAAACTGATGGTTAGTTGTTTTTTTTTTAGAGTTTCTGCTTAATTTCTTTGACAAACAACCAATTGTCCACACTGAACCTCTCATAGAATCACAATATTATTAGGACTAAAGCAGGCCTATTATGTTTTCCCAAGAAATACTTACCAATTTATCAGCTGTTGTTATAGTTTTTGTTTTACTTATCATTACAGTGATGGAATTTATTCTTTTCTCCAATATTCTGTTTTTAACATATTTGTATGAAAACATAAAAATACGCACACGTATAGTTCAGGTTGGTTGGAAAAAAAAGTTTTATATATTCACTTGGAGGATTATATGTATAATGTTAATTTTAAGATCGAAAGGAAAGAGTCTCTTTACAATTTATCTATTTTTCTTTTTCTTTTATTATTTTAATTCCGAATTTCTCGAATAATTGCAATAATTGTGAACTTCGCTAATTACATAATACATGCACGTGAGAAGTCTGAACGAATTTACTGAACTTGTTACAGTCTGTCTTTATGAGAATCAGGTGTTCCAGTCTGCTGAGCAGATTCCCTTCCCAGACGTATGTGAGTACTGCTTCTGTTATGAAGGGGACATTCTGTGTATTCATCAGGAATGTCCACCGCCATCGCTTGGGTGTTTTGAGACCGTTCTCGAAGACTACTGTTGTCCACGTTACGAATGCCGTAAGTTATTGTTTGTTATGAATTTCGCGCAAAGCTACACTGGGACTATCTGCGCTAGCCGTCCATAATTTAGCAGTTTAAGACTAGAGGGAAGGCAACTTGTCATCACCACTCTTTTACCAACAAATAGTGGGATTGACCGTCACATTATAACCCCCCACAGCTGAAAGGGCGAGCATGTTTGGTGTGACGGGGATTCGAACCCGCGACCCACAGATTCCGAGTCGAGCGCCCTAACCACCTGGCCATACCGGGCCTCGTAAGTTATTTCAAAGTAGATAAAGTTCTATAATACGTTGTTAAAGTTATTTCCATTGCTCTCAGATGTGGTTTTGGTTTAGTTTGAATTTAGCGCAAAACTACACGAGGGCTAGCTGCGCTAGCCGTTCCTAATTTAGCACTGAAAGACTAGAGGGAAAGCAGCTAGTCATCACCAAACACCGCCAACTCTTGGGCTTTTCTTTTACCAACGAATAGTGAGATTGACCGTCACATTATAACGCCCCACGGATGAAAGGGCAAGTTTGGTAGGACGAGGATTCAAACCCGTGACCCGCAGATTGCGAGTCGAGCTCCCTAACCACCTTTCCATGCCAGATCATTTCAGATATGAGCAAAGGCATTGCTAGGTGCTTAAAAGATTCGGAGCTCGGGCTCAGAACTCGCGGAAATTTTCGGCGTTTCAGTATGACATAAATCATGGTTTTTTATTCTTATTTTTCAAGACACCAAATTGATTCGGGACACTATCAAGTAGAATTGGAGCACGAGCCACGTGTGCCAGTGCCTATTTTGTTTGTTCGCAATTCATCACAAAGCTACACGATGAGCTATCTGTGCTCTGCCCACCACGGGTATCGAAACCCGGATTCTAGCGTTTTAAGTCTGCAGACATACCGCTGTGCCACTGGGGGGCGCCAGTGCCTATAGCGACGTTGGATATGAGTAAAAAATTGTATGATATAACCTGTACAGATTAAATTCATTCGATTTTAATTCCCGTCTAGCGTTAAGTTGCTTGGTTTGTTTGTTTTTAAACTGAACTGGCGATAACATATCTGAACAAATATGATTATATCAAATTCATTTACAAAACAAGCTTTTCCAGTTTCACGAGAATCTGAATAATTTACTTATACTTTAATTAATTTTCAGACTCTTGAGTGGCAGAAAGCTTTTTTTTCTTAATATGTGAACTTTTTCAAGGTGCAAATGTTTACTGCGAACAGTAAACAGTTTGTCTTACTGAATTTACGTTCATATTGTGCTTGTAAAATAGTTTTCTTTTCCAAGAGCACGAATCTAATATCTTTCAGAAACAGTTTTTCTTATTCTGTCAATTTACCGAAAAAAATAAAAGACAAAATAAATACAATTATTTTAAATGTGACATTTTTGAAAATTATTTTTGTTTTACCGTTCTTTTGTTTCTTATCAACAGCTGCAAAGAAAGTCAACAATACCAGAACGACCTCTAAAGGTCGTACGCTGACCAGACTGGCCAGGATGGTGATGCCTGTACAACGTGTACAAGGTGTGTGAAATTTCTTACCCTCCTGCAAAAAATAATATTTTGAGGTTTACTTTACTTAGAATTCTGCGTTACTCTTCAGTAAGTGATGGGGACAATGGCTTAATGTATATTGGGTTGAGTGTTTCTTCAGAATTCTGCGTTACGATGAGTGATGGAGATAGTTACTTAGTGTATATTGGGGTGAGTGTTTCTTCAGAATTCTGCGTTACGATGAGTGATGGAGATAGTTACTTAGTGTATATTGGGGTGAGTGTTTCTTCAGAATTCTGCGTTACGATGAGTG